CACAGGTGTATGCGATGTCTATATGAGAGTCAAGTACCGAGTTTTCTTTTTGTAAAATTTGTAAAATTTTATCTTGTTTTGACACATAAATATATTTAAACTTAATACGACCATAATAGCGGTAGCACTCGTTTTAGAATGGAGTCGGCTGCTGGATAACGGAGCTACTAGGTAGTAAAGCGGACGTAAAACAAACAATTGAAATCGGACCAATAGTGCGTGACTCGATTGACGCAGACAAGCTCCGCCCAACAGGCAATGCCCAACCAAGTGTCGGGTTGCATCACCGAGGAGAATGATGAGGGAATTTGAGTCTGTTTAAGTTTCATTTCCTGAATTCCGGAACCTAAACCCAAAGAATGATATTATTTGCTGCATTGAACTCTATATCTCCGACAATTGTTCTCCCGATATCGCACAGGTGACGCTTTCTTGCTGTTGTGATACTCTGCAAAGAACATTTATTGTACAGTCTAAATTAGCCTTCCGTGAATCCGGCTGCTAGTCGTTTTTACTTAATTTAAGCCGTAAACTGTTCTCAATTTCTGAAGGGTTAGAACTAGGTCTACTTTAATGAAATGAAAATAATCTTTAATTGAGTTTACGTACTTCGAGAATTTAAAAGTCAGGTATCTCAAGGAGGAGTAACCATATTTTTCTCCGGGTTCGAGTCCCGGTCCGAATTTGTTTCACCTGCTACAGTTTACTGTCGAACTTGCTATATTCTTTAAATGATAAAACTCAAAAGTATTTTAGTTAAGAAACTGTTATAACAAACCTGAAAATTTCTCCACGCCCTATGACGTAGCCTTTTTGGAAGCAGCTGACTGAATGTTAACAAGAAATTCCTTCATGTAGTTTTCCGCGAATATCTGAAATGAAGGATTTCAAATTAGGGATGTAGACCTATCGAATTCAAAGCCGTAGGATTTAACTGGGCAAGTATTTCGCAATTTGCCATTTTTTTTCTCTTCTTGTTGAGTATTGGGAATTCACGGGTACGTATTTTTCTCATGAGTGTCTCATCATTTTCGAGAAGATACCGGTTCTAAATATCGGCATGGTTGTATTAGTTAAAAGTCATAGCAGTTTGAAGTCGACAATTTAGCTCGATCTAGTATTCTCCATTAACCAATCTTTTTAAATAAATGTGTTATGACCCAAAAACGTTTGGTATATATTTTAAAAATATGTTGGGGAATTAAAATATTTAAAAAATATATAAGAACATTTTTTTATATTTCCTGAACGAATTGAAAGGATACATTTAAAAGTTAGTTATGGTATATGACATCATAAGTTTGCGTTATTTTTTTTTATTTTTTTTATATGATGTCCATTGTACTTGAGAAAGCTTCTTTTGATTTCTTGTTATTAAATTATCATCTTTGTTGGTTTTTATTTCGTAAATAACATTGTCCCTTGTTCGCCTATTGGCTATGTATTTGTCTCCCATCTGTTCATTTTATCTTTATTTCGTATTTTCGAAGTATCTCTTTTTCTTTACAGTATTTTGCATTATTATCTTTTTTAAGTTAAACTATGTTTTTGTAAGTATTTTTGCAGTATTTTGGGCGTA